GAGAGAGAGAGAGAGAGAGAGAGAGAGAGAGAGAGAGAGAGAGAGACTAGTTATCAGAATCATGGATATTCTCTATATTGTCTTTGAATGCTGTTTTCCCCCCCTCTGATATGAACTTTCAATAATAGTCTTGAATGTACAGCCTACAAGATTCAATTTCGTTTTTTTTTTTTTTTTTTAAAAGGATGAAAGTGAGATTTAAAATAAGCACCATTTGGTCCCTAACAACGAGAGAGAGAGAGAACTGTCAAAACAGTCCACTGGCACCACCTGCTGTTCAGTCAAAAGCATCACACTGAACTCAGGTGGATGTTTTACTGGATTAGCAGAATTTATCAGAGATGCAAGATAAAATCATCTGCTTGTCTGCCCAGACATTGGTTTAGGAAGACTCCTTAAGTGTTCTTTGATGCTTCTTAATCGAATAAAACCCACTGCCACTAATTTGGATCCACACAAATGCTCTCGCTACTGGGTCGAGTCTAGTCTAGTACCTGCGGCCGCCAGGTGTGCGGTGATCTCATCCGTGCCAGCCGAGTTGAGGATGTCCGTGTCGTCATAAGGATCATCATCTGGCGAAGACGTTGAGTCTTCCTCAGCGCTCATCATGGATGCTTCGGTAAAGGTGGCCACATGTACCTATACACAGTAATGATCCAAGTAGAATTAGTTTAAATCCACTGAGTTTACCAATCTAACTAGCTGGAAAAAAATTGTTTAAATATCATGTGAATAATGGGAAGGAGGACGCGTGTCTCTTCGTCCTTCCTGATTTCCACTGTTTAACTATTCTGCTTGTAAGTGCACCTGATGAATTTGTTGGCTGACGGCGCTGGCCTCGATGGTGGTCATGTGTTCTGTCTGGTGAACGACGTGCTCATCCATTGTTGGCCACCTGGTCTACACAGCTGGATCCACGGCACAAAGACTGAGGAGAGAAAGAGGAAAAGAAGAGATGCAGCATGAGAAACTGTTTACACCTAAATGGTGCCTGTGTAAATGTCATCTATTCAATAACGGCACAGAACTTGTATGGGGAGTAATTCCTGCTTCATTGGCTACTGATATGCATCTTAGCAGATGCATTTTATTGCATACATTGTTGGGCTGTCTTGGCTGACACGTCTCTTCAGTGTCGCGTGGCAGTCGGGGACAGTGCCTGTGGAGTGGTGGATCCCATTTTTAAAAAAGGGGGACCAGAGAGTGTGCTCCAGGTATCGGGGTATCACACTGCTCAGCCTCCCCGGGAAAGTTTATTCCAGGGTGCTGGAAAGGAGGCTCTGACCAGTTGTCTAACCTCGGATTCAGGAGGAGCAATTCGGATTCTATCCTGGCTGTGGAACAGTGGACCAACTCTTTACCGTTGCAGGTCTGTTCTAGGAGTCATGGGAGTTTGCCCATCCAGTCTACATGTGTAGACGGCCTACGAGCAAGTTCCCCGGGGAGTCCTGAGGGGTGTACTGCGGGAATACGGGGTACAGTCCTTGTATGACCAAAGTGAGAGCTGTGTCCGGATACTCGGCACAATGTTTCCAGTGCGTGTTGGCCTCCGCCAGGGTTGTCCCTCGTCACCAATCCCGTTTGTGTTTTTCATGGACACACTGCGACCCGGCCCCAGATAAGCGGAAGCTAATGGATGGATGGACAATGATGTAACATGTCCTCAAAATCTACCATTATCTATATTGGAAGATGTGCTTATAAATATATGATGACACATAATTGGAATGAAAATATTAATTAATCAGACATACTGCCTGGTACGTTAATCTGCAACTATTTAGTGCATTTATGTAAACTCCACTGCACCATGAATGCAAATTCATGGAATTAAGACCATTAAACTTAGGCAATTTATTTACAAAACGGCAACCACCGCTGCGCTACCTCCTAGATGGCTTCCTACTGCATCACTGTAATCATGAAAATGTTTTATTTTCCAATTTATTATGTGTTAAATCATAGGTTTTTACAAGAAATGGACTAACAAAATAGCTTTAACACATTATAGACATTAATATATATTGATTAGCACTACTTAGATACTTCAAATCATCCAAAAGGTAATTTCTGACAGTATATGTAAGTAACAAAGTCTAAATGTACTCAGCTTGACAGTGAAAGTGTCTCTTTATTCATTAGTGAAGAGCATCTGTGTGTTGTATATGGATTACGTATTTCTACAGATCTGTCCCATACACGATTGTTTTCTCATTGAGAGAGACTTGGACATTGTTGACGTTACCCACCAATGCATAAGGAGTCTAGTTGTGTCATATACAGCAGCCAGACAAGGTTTATTGGCATAAAATATCTCCTGTAACGACTCCATAGACTGTATCTGCTGGTTGAATCGATGGGATGCACGAATCGGTGAACGACTCCACAATAACATTGCTGTTTAACCATACCCATGGCCTACAAACAGGCAAATTCCCCTGTCACCTAGTAAAATACGTTATGCAAAAACATCTGTATTAAATCGGAAACGTTCCTGCTCGTGCAGTGCAGTAATGTTAGCACACTCGCTTGACAACGACTACCAAACAGAGCTAAGCTAGCACTGTCCTACATTTGGCTAATACGCTAGCTAGCTAACCATTTGGCGGTGTAGCTTCGATCATCTGAATGGACATTCGCTGTGATCGTGAGCAGCAACAATGTCCCGATGTTCGGACACTGAATAAAAATTAATTCAGTGTGCAATGGAGGGCAACGGTTAAAGCTCGGGTAGCACAGCGGCTAGGTTAGCATGAAACCCGCGCAATATGAAACAAAACAGAGCGGTTACAACAGGCCCAGCGGCCTGCACGTCTTCCACAGCTATTCTACTCTTTATGAGCTTGTTGTCGATACGCGCCTAGAACAAGATTCCTCACAAAAGCCAGAAATGCATCAAAAACCGTGTTCCGGTCAACATCACAACAATCTGCATCTTTCACCCCCAACGCTGCCGGGTTCGGTGATGCGGCTGCGCCGGGGCTGAAATAGATGGAGATTGCGCGGTAGGGCACTAACCTCAGAGCGGCTGCGCTACTTCGGGCCTGCGCCGTACAGTGGGGATGGAAGGAAGCTCTAATGGACGACAGAGGGGAGCCAGCAGCGAACACAGCGAGCAGACCGCACACAACACTGATCTGCACTAGTGATGCCTTCAGGTGCTCGTCCCGAGCTTCTCTCTCATACAGTCACGATGCATACACTCGTGTGTGCATTTTGAAGCCCCTTTAGCCAAAAGACTGGAGAAAAACACGATGCCAATCGGGTTGTTTATTCCTTTCGTTTCACCAGAAAGACACATTGTGCTGATAGAAGGACTACATTTGTTGACGTAGCAGAATAGTCAGAAAACATGCATTAGAATTATAAACGCTGTTTTAATTACATAATTTTTATACCAATAATGTAGTTGCACATATTAATAAATAAAAATATATAATCTTGGAAGTATTTTCTGTTGTTGCCAAGTCAGTGCAATATTAATTAAGTAAAGGTAAAACAAATAATTGAAATAGAAACGCAACATGGAAAATGTGAAGCACAAATGTTTATGCAAAGCAAGGCAAGTCTTTTTGTATTATAGCCTTCATTTCATGCACACGAATGGTTTTAGCGTGTTTACATATTGCATTGAAACATTAAAAGGGGCATCATGCGTTTCCTTATTCCCATCACAGTGATTGTGCGTTCATATTAAATCCAGATGGGCAATTAATTGCACCATTTATTGTTATTATATTTCCGAGAGTTATTGAACGCCACATAAAACCTGGTAAACCACGCCCCTTTCCAATGACACACTTTGAACTCAACTGAAGCATGTCACAGACCACCATTGCTGTAAAGTTATCCGCATGTTGGGCTACAATCACAAAACAAAAACAGTTGAGGTTAGTTATGTAGCGTTGGTGTTGACAAAGGTTAATGTTTTAATTTGGGAAAACGTCAATGCTGAGAAAGAGTAAATAACGCTGGATCAAAACAAACTTTCCAATTACTTCAATTAGCAGCACCTGTGTCATTCAGGCATTCTGTATCACTTTCTACCTGAAGCTGTTTATTCCCCCAAGAGGTTAGTAGCATTTCTAGTAACATAGACTAGGACACACGTATTAAAATGATTAAATCTGTACAAAATGTGTCTAATGGGACCTACCAGCTGACATGTAACTTATACTCGGGTGCATAACTAGGTAAAGGTAGTTAAAGCTAATAGTGTTATCCTATAGTCCTGCAATAAATCCTACTGTCATGAAGGTTATAATGTTAGGTATTTGTTAACTGTTTTTGGGAAACTGCGATCATTTTGGAGGCTGCAGTTTGTGCTGCTTTGTAAAAACATTTCTTTATTATTTAGCCTACCCCTCATTGATATAAATGTGGTTGACAAAAGTAACAGAAATACCTGTTAGTACAATTCAACAGAAGCACAAACTTCAGCCTCCAAAATGATCATAAAAGTTGAATCAACACATCTCTCAAACAGTTGTAACCAGAACACAGCATTAGGATTAATGGCAGGACTGTTGCATGAGACTGGATTCGTTTTAGCTGGCTGCACCTAATAAACTGGCCCCTGAGTGTCTATGATATTTAGGTCTATCTTACAGAAACTCGCATGAAAGTTTTTTTGAAGTGGCCTCATTTTTTATCTTCTCTTATAGCTTCACATACTCGAGAGCCAATCGGTTACTACATGTGGTAGTGTTCATGAGGGACTGAACTTAGCCCTGACATGGGCCATTTCTGCCTGTCTTTGTTGCAAAACTAAAGTTTATTGGACTGCCCTGATGATATAAACCGTACTCGCTTTGTACTCCAAATAGACAACTTCAATGATGCCACAAGGTGACAGATCTGTGGGAGAGCAGACTGAAGGGATAGAACGGTAAGTTTCTGACAATTTCGTATCTTTCCTTTGTATTGTATTCCTGCTAAACTTCACTAGTCCTATTGTTAATGCTCCAATGACGCATCACAGACCAGCATCCACAACTTGAGTCACACCTCAAGGGGGCAGCATTGCATTACAAATCACACTTTGAACTCAGCCTCTCAACTTTGTTGGAACAGGAACTGGCAGTGAGGCGTCATTGACGAGGCTCTCCGCAGGTGCCCTGGCGTGCATTCAAGATGATGGATGTTTTACATTAGCGTGTGGTGACAGCAGCTTATGTTTGTGCATCACTCAACGTCAGTTCAGTATCACATTCAAAAAAGTCTGGCAGGAGAGACGCAGAGTGTTACTCCACATTTACAGCTTCCGTACTGTGTAACTGACCTTCACACTACATTGTCTCTCTGTAATGCCTCTGTCTTTGCTTTCAACATCTGCAGACAGGATGCCACATAATTAGTATGTCACTCTCTCCTGATGCTACATGATTGACAAGCTATGGTCAGAAACAGATGGGTTTACTTTACACTGTTTGCGTACAGAACCCTGTTTAGAGTTAATGATGAATTTGTTTGAGTTTGCCAAAAATCCAGGGTTGGAATGTTTGGTTAGTCCTGCCTTTTCCGATTTTGGTGACCATTTAAGCATTGTGGTCGGTAGATCATCTTAGAAAAGTTGTAGCTACTTAGAGGGTACTGATTTTGCATTCATTCAATTTGTTTCTCAAGGGCACTGCAGTGCGAAACTGTTTCCGTCAGGCATCGCGTGACGTAGATGGAGTGTGTTAATGAACCGATGTCCTATTATTTGGTCCTATTCTGCTTTCTCCACCGTGAGCTGTGGTTGGGTATAGATAAGGCTCACAGCCTGTGGGTCTGGAATCAATAATGGATGTAATTGGTGAGGTGGAAGTGAGGATAATTGAAGGTAATTGTGTGGACCGTCACAAGACTATGAGAGAGGTCAAGACAAGAGTAGTAGTAGATGAAGAGAAGACGAAGGTGGTAGGGTTGGGGAAAGAAAATGCTCCTGTAGTCTTTACTGAATGTACAGTATATAACATCGCCGTGGTACCAACCTCTCTCTATTTTGCTGCAACTAGACATTATTTAGGTAGAAATACAACCTAAATCACAAATTGCAGAACAAAGTATTAATCTTTCCTTAAACCACGTGAATTTAGTTTCTCATGTAAAGTTCTTGTGTTGCATGTGGTTACTTCTTAACCCCCAGGAAGCAACCAGTTGGCAATGATTGAGTTGTCAAATATTAATTAAGCTATAGATCTTTCTTTCTCTTTCTACCTTTCCTTCTCTTTGCCTTTCCCATTAGTACAAAGCAGAATAGACCAGCTTGGTTGGTAAACATGAGCATGTTGTGCACATTTTACAGATGTTTCATTACCTGCTTTCAAAGTTCAAACTTAAGTTAAAAAAGGGTTTCTGCCATTTGGAGCTGCAGGTGTTGCCTTGCGCTACATTAGTTAAAAAAATATTCTTCGTCTTCAGATCTGTATGAAGTCTCTTGGTTTCCCAGTTCATCTTCAGTCCAATAAAACTCCTAAATATTTCACTTTTAAACTTTTTTTTTTTGCATGCTAGAAAAATAATGTTGCCATTGCATTTTTGCATGTGGGTTTCTCTTCTCATGAGCACAGCCATGTAATTGTGCTGCTGGCCGCCAAAGAGTTACATTGTTGCAGTTGCTGGATACCATTTCTTGCTCAAGGGCACCTCAACAGTGGTACATATGGGAGGGAGTGCATGGTTTAATGCATTCACGTCTTTGTCCCAAATCATTTCAGCCAGACAAGATAGAAACTGGCAACTGTTTAAATCTAGCCACTAGGGTGCAGGAGTTTACAGCAACTGGCATTCTCAGTGTTCCTTTGGTTATGTGTACCTGTCTTGGATCAATTCAGTGAGCAAACAACACAAGCAATACTGATACTCTAAATGTCCTTGATTATGAAGTATATTCCTTTCCCCAAGGTTGCTGGACGTTCCAGCGGTACGTTGGGTATAACGGGTGAAGTATTCTGCATTAACAGCAGGGGACACTGCCGTACCATGCATTGAACCAAAACTGAACCACTATAGAAACTTTATAGCTGCTCTGCAGAGTCATGCCCACTGAATGATATGACACATTCATTCATATTTCAACATTCACAGATTACTTCCATTTAATATCTTGGGGCAAAGCGAATCCCAGATCCTCAGCTATGTTATCTTTTTGTGGATTAGAATGTAAGGGTGTACTTTTCAGTTGAATTTACATTTACGTGCAGAAAGTCAATTTTGTGTAAGCAATGAATAAATGAACGGATGCATAGTGGAACCTTGAAAGTGCAAGAAAAACCTTGTCGTACTGTACACTATATGAGAGTAACAACATTGCAGCATCAGCACAACTTTCTCAAATTTGACCCAACCAAAGGGCTGAGGGCGCTCTGTATGTCCCAACGCTAAATGATTTAAGAGCTTGATTAATACTGGGCTTTTATGGCTCACACCAA